CACACGCACACACACACAGACACACGAAGCTGGCCACGCTGAACCCTGTATACCCTAATAAGGACAAAGCCAAACCAGGCCACGGAAATGGCAGATTCCGATTGCCTGGCGGGCCGAAGCCTCCAGCTGCCAGTGGTGCACGAAAGCCTCGAGCTCTTCCGGTTCTCGGAGACCCTGGCGAGGTCTGAAAGTTTGTCTGGGTTCTTGTCCAGGAGCTGCAAACTTAAGCAGCTCTGATTTCTCGACTCTTACAGCTTTGGCGATCGAGGGGGGGCTCCAAAAGGCTCGAACTTCGGCCGAGGCATCCCATCCAAAAGGAGGAACGAGAACCCTTCTGCTAAGCGTCCGGGGCAAAACACAGGATCCTTACGTTAGGTCTTTGGGTCGGCAAAGCCACCCGAACGTTCATTGCTGTCACCTCCGTTCTGCACAGCCATTAACATGCCCATAGGTGACCTTGGGAGCACGCTTCCAAGAACGGGCATATGCGAAGCTGTAGAGCCGCGCCGAAACGTTCCCGTCCTGCGAACTGAGGTTCCAGAAAGGTGGCCGATGGCGAGGAGGCTAGTGAAGCTACAGCAGCACATGTGGCACTGGCGGTTGACAGTGCCGAATAACATCCTTGTGCACCCAAATCACCCGCACTGTTGCTCTGCGCATTTTGTTGAGGAAGCATGGAAGGGTGCCATCGCTTTAGCCCATCAGAAAGCTGACTGACTCCTGGAACCCATAATTCCACCACGCCCACCCCCCCCCCCCCCCTGAAAGAGGGGTGGTGGTGGGGTCGAGAAATACCTATCTCCATTTGTTATAGGTTGGGGGAGGGGCTGTTGGCTGGGGGTTACCCCCCCCCTCATTCCTACTATATTAAGCGGGGCTCTCTTTCACCTAACCTCACGAGTGTTGCCTTGAGCCTGCGCGTGTCCTTTGTGCCTCGTGGATCGAACTCCTTTAGGACGCCAACCTGCACAGTTCGAACGAAAGCTTGGGATATGGATGGCATGGTTGTCGGCATTTCGTAAGCGCATAACTTCAGAAAACTCCAGAAACTGTCCGTTCCCAGTGCCCGCGGCTGAAACACCAAGGCCAGCTCGGCTCTTGTCTCGATGAAAGCTGCGAGTGCATAAGATTCTTTGGTGTCGCCATGTGTCGCCTATATCGCCAGTGAGGCGGGGGTCATAACTAGAGTCTGCCAGTCGAAGCGTACGGAACCCCTGGCCCGCCAGACGAGCTCTAGCTCAGAGGCAGCCCCCCCTTTCTCATGAAATGCTCCGTACTGCCCCCCGGCCTGGATATCCTCGGGTAAATCCCTGAGGAACTCAGTCACCTCTCCTTGGCCATCACAGCCGACGCAACCAGCTGATTTTGGAGCTGTACACCGAAGAATTGAAGGTTTCGACTCCATGCCTTGGGTTCCGGAGGCCATGTGCTCGGCTGTTCAGCGACAAGACGACAAGCCTCTGCCGAGTAGCTGTGAACATGATGCTTCCCGCACCCGGGACAAGACTGACTTCGGAATGCTTGAGTTTGCGAAGCTTGCAGCCTCCTGTGCGCCGCCAGAAACCATGATCCAACCCGCCTGCCTTTGCATCCCTGCGTCAAATATGCATCTGTGGGAACCCGTAAAGACGGGAGGAGCCCAAGTCTCAACGACCTTCGAACTGCATCCTTGTCTCTGTTCACTCCCAGACGCCGGCACCACATCCCTCGAACGAAGGACAGGAAGCGGCTCCTGCAGGGTTGCAGGTGGAGCGTCGGACATGGGCTAGCCTTTGCCGTTGACAACTGTGGCTACCCTCAACTCTAAAACAAACTGTGCCCTGCATCCTCACGTTGCCATCGCGGGTACCTCAGCGCTCTTTATGGGGCGCTTTTGCGGTTGGAGCAGAGCATCACGAGGCTTCAGGAACTCGGAGTTCAGCCGCATCAGCGGTGTGTGGGTCTAGCAGCATACATCTTGGATCTCCGAGCTTCTGTGACAGCCCCACAGTTTCTTCCCCCCACCCTGTGGCACTCAGCTACCAGCTCCCGACAGACGGCATGGTCACTTCAGAAATGTCAGCTGCAATGCTCCTCCAGAGATGACAAAAAACCATTTTCCAGGCTCCATGCCCCCAGAGGCGAGGCAGTCGGAAGCTCGGCGCATGCTTGGCGCGTTACGCAGCCATCGAATGCAGCGAAGAACGCCCCTAAGGCAGCCTGTGAGGTTCGCAAAAGCTCAGCAGGACCTCGCAAGATGCCCCGGCGGCCTGGCGAAGAGGTATTCCAGCCGTGGCGCAGCGGTGGCTCTATGCTTTGCAAACAAGATGACGCTCTGTGAATCACTGTGTCACCACCAGCCGTGCCGGACTTAAAGTGCCGAAACGACGTGGCTGGTATGCCACATGAAGTCGAGTCTTGACACCATGTGCACTGCGACTTTGTGTCTTCAGGTGCACCTTTGCCCAGAATTGACGCGGTTTCTTGACATCTTGACCGCAGCAACAGAGTCTCTCGAGGCATGCCTCATGCCTGCCTGGAGAGAGAATGGACGTGCAGCAGTTAACTTGCACTCATGAATTCAAAGGCATGCTGCGTACGTCTTGGTGCACGCAAGGTGCGATGGAGATAAACACGTGTATTAAAAGTCCCCGAGAGATAAAATGGCAATGCATGACCTTGTCATCCTGCCCTGCCAACTGAAACCTTGAAACGACGCGCTGCCCGCTCGGACTCTTCGGACAGAACTCCCCCGAGCCCTCTTCACCTTGAGCGCCTTTGAAAACGTGCGCCCCCTTAGCCCTTCGGGGCAAGAGAGTTCGGGACTAAACCGGCTCCAGACTGTGGGAGGTCTTCCACCAGTTTTGGCAATCAGCTTTCGCAGCCTTGGCCACCGATCCACTGGAGGCAAGCCGTCTCCTGCGTGCACATGATATATGGTCTGCGATCTGAAGACACTATGCGGGTCAAGATGCAGCCTTAAAAATGATGTTCAACAAGTACCCGGTCTCCTCTTGGCTGGTCAGAAGCAGAACGATGATTCCGTAGATGAGGCATATGGCCGGGATCACAATCACTAATGTGGCCCTGACAGAGCTGGAGCCTGACTCTTTCTTTCGCCTCTGAGCATCCTCCTTCTGGAAGGGGATCATGGGGAGCAAAAACAAAGCAACGAGGGAGCTGGAATAGGTAAGCACGTAGGACCAAGCAACTGTAGAGCGGAAGGTGCTAGTGTCTGCAACGTAGTTTTCAAGCTTGGATAGCTTCGGGTTGAAAAGTCCGAAGATTTGATTGCTCACCACTGCCCCAAAGGGTGTACTTGAGCTCTGGAACGTGCCGATGAGGCCGTAGCACAGGCCTTCACGACCCGGCTCAGCAAGTTCGATGATCATCAAGTTGGCCACCAGCTGGAGTGCAGCCATGGGGATACAGCCAAGGATGTCTTCGCCGAGGTAGAAGTACTGGTTGCGGACGATATTGAAGATGGTGAGGAAAGTCGGGATTGCATCGAAGACCGCGATTGTGACGATTGAGACGAAAATGGTCTTTCGCCAACTGGTCTGGAGCAGGCAAACCTTGTAGATCCAGGTCGCCAGCATCATGAAGGCCAGCCCAACAATGCCAAACGTTTGCTGCTGTAGGACTTTGACCTCGGCCCATCGGCTCTTCACCATTGGCCCGGCGGTGGTTGTGATTGAAAAGAGCAGCTGTACCAAAAATGCAAAGAAAAGTAGGTTCGAGAACGTGTTCTTCTGGACGAGCTCCCACGAAGACTTTACATGGGCACCGCAGGAGATTCGGTCCACGCGGTGCCTGGGTTTCGGGAGCTCGTGCACACAACAGACGGAGAGCGGGATCATGAAGACAACCAGAACGAAGCAAAGGGCCATGAGACCGCTGAAGGAGAGCCCCCAGTCGAAGGTCCCCAGGTAGGCCTTGCTGTTCATGAACACGCCAACGACCACAGAGGCGGCCAAGGCCCCTCCCGTGGACACCATCGTCATCTCCGCCTCTACAGATACGGGCAGCAAATGGCTTCGAGCTAAGTCTAAGGTGACATTCGGCTAGATGCAGGAAGAACAACTCGATGCCCTGCACAAGGAAAACAGCTCAACACAGCCTTGATTTGCCCTCGGCGTTCAACCGGCTCACGCTGCGAGTACTCAAGCAGGAGACCCTCACCGGCCGTGATGCCCAGCTGGATGCCTCGGATGTTTTAGGTGTTCGGGCGGTCCGCTCCTGCAGGAACCGTGGAAGAACTGAGGAAACTGAATAACCTAAAGCTCGACTTCGTCGCACGCCCACCTGCTGTCAGGATGAACATCCAGAAAACGTACCAGTTCTTCTCGGTATGGATGCCCGGGTTGCATGGAGGGACAAGAAAGTTGTAGCTGCCATCCTCGTTCTGGCAGTAGAAGGGAGCAGGCAGGGGCCGCAAACTCATGGCAAGAAGAGCACAACCGGCAAGGCACCAGGACAAGAGGAAGTAGGGCTTCCTGTGTTTGCCCCGAATCGGGCAACAGTCCGTGAGAATGCCGAACGGGAGAAGTAATACTTGCGGGAGCTTCATCAGCTGCGTAATGGAAGACATTACATACGAATCCAGCCCCATGTAGCCGAGGAAGAACCCGTATGTAACAGCCGAACAAATTGCAGTGAGGAACGCCAGAAGGAAGCCGCCAATCACGACCCCAATGGACTTGCGGGTCCAAATGCTGATTGCATGGCAATCAGGCTGCTCCAAGGCATTCTCGACGTCTTTTTCGGGTTTGATGGTCAAGATCTCCGGACTCAACTCTCCTGGGCTGGAATCTCCAGCCAGCGTGGTGCACTGGGAAAGGGAGGAGGCGGCTTTGGTGATCTCTTTCTGCTCCAACTCCTGCGACGCCCATGTTGAAGCAAGCACGGACCACCTATACCAGCCCTTCTCTGCCGCTACAGGTACCTGACTACTTCTGTTTTGAATCGACGAGATCGTGCAGTCTGTAACTTCACAGCCAAAACCTCGCAGACCCGTGTGACTCCTGCTCGGCGGTGGCCAGCACAGACATGGCTGTGGACATGGGCTGCCAAAGAGCAAAATCTCCAGGGCTTGAGCAAGGACACCCTGAAAGCCACAGTTCTAGTGGTAATACAATGATAAAGGCAGATGTAAGAGTAAGATGCAGCAGTGGCTCCTTGGAAGACTCATCTGCTGGTGCGTGTTGTGGGGCTCATCAGTGGCCCCGTGGACATGAGTGTGTTGCAAAACCATTGGTGCCACCGAAGCACCCTGGATGTCGAACTGCTCGATGATCTCTATCTGTAGATCCTCCTCCAAACTCTGGAGCAGGTCCAAGGCAGCTTCGCCCATATCCTGCGGCGATTTACGATCAAACTTTGCAGAATCTGATCTGGGTTGAACTGTTGCCGTCTTACGGGAGCTCATGTGATCCTGAAGCTATCCTTAGTTGCTGAGTTCAGAAGCCCAAAACAGTGTACACTTTCAGTTCTTCAAGGGATCAATATTATATTATCACAAGAAGTGTAAAGTGTACGCATTCAGCTACTAAGTATCTAAAGCTGCCGCCTCACCTGAGGCTCTGATCATCAAAGCTTACGAGCCCCGAAATGCAACCCTAAACCCTGGCAGGGCCAGATCGCGGATGAAGGCACGCACTCGCCTTGGGGTTCGGGGGAGGCAGGACTCAAGTCAAGATCGGGTTCGCTGCAGAATGCGGTTACGGAGTCAAACACGCCCAATGATCTTTTTCAGTGTACAACTAGCATTCAGGATTTCGACTCTTACGCTCGCACGGGGCAAGCAAGACTTTGCGACAACTGGTCCAACCCCCAATGAGTAAAATGGATTGCCAAACCGAAATCACACCAGATCTGGACCAACAAAAACCCTGAATGTAAACTGCGAGCTCCACAGCAATCAGCTTGTCTCAACGCCATCAGAAAAACTGTAGTCTTAACCCAGGGTTCCAAGTTGCTTTTAAGACCATCTGCCTTTCTCAGCAGCCTATCACGAAAGGTCTGCGCTCTCAAGCCTGTCCGGCATGATTCATGGGTGATTGCTGTTCGCAACTCGAGCCATTGTTGCATGGATGCAAGTGCTGCCAGTGTTCTTGCCACTCGCAACCCGACAAGACCAGGCGAGGATGTTCGGTCACATGAGTCAGTACGGAGTAGCAACGGGTTGCAGCGTACAGAACAAGGCAGATTGAAGTTGTCTCCAGAACGGGCAGTTCACACTGCCCATGCCACCTGAAACCTCGAGCCCAACCACCAGGTCCAATGCAGAACAGGACACCTGTTGATGCCCGAAGGCCCAAAGTCCTGCAGGCGAAGCGCTTGGATTTGTTGCTTGTCTCTGCTGCGTTGCGTGATATCCACCGAGCATCAGGGACACCGCAGAAGCTCTGTGGAACCCACACCGACAACCCTGGAAAGGCTATCCTCGCGACGCTTTGGCGGAGGAAAGTCGAAGGGCATCTGTGCTCTTCTCGCGACAGATCTGGCACCGAGGCTGATCATTGAAGAGTCTCAGTATTTTAAGTTTTTTCGAGATCCCTTCAGCGGCTGCAAACATTTTGCACTTGCTTTGCATGCGGTGAGATCTTTGCTATCCGCAGCAATGCACTCGAGTGTCCTTAGATGGCTTCGCCATCCAATTTAACAAATGATCGTAAGAGATATTGCGATAGCTCATCCAAAGGGAGCTTTGCATACTGTAGTGCACCATCTGCCACATGTTCATGTGGCCAGAAGGTTTCTCGGGGAATCAACACCGAGGGACATCTCATGGGCCGAGCTGTGGACATCTTTGAACCTCCCAGCCAACGGCTCACTTGAGCTGCAGCGATTTTCGGAGGTGCCTGCATTGCCTGCCAAAAGCAACTTCAGTTTCACAAAGCATCGAGCCGTGTTGATTGACCTGGCAGCATGAAAACACCAGGAAGGACCGCCTTTCTTGGGCTCTAACGCTGCCAGCTGCGTGTGCAGCTAAAGCTTTTTTTGGGAGCTTTTCTGTCCTCGGCAGAACACCAAGCAATCCCGTGCTCATCTCAGCGCCACAATCAACCGCTTGGAAGAACTACAACGAAGTGTGCAGCACTGACGAGTTCCCATAGGCAGACGGGCAACTCCGTTGGACACTGTTGAGGAGAGCCTGTCGGGCGAGCCACAAAAAACAGCTCATGCCCGATCACAGAAAAAAACGACTCCCCTATGCGCCTTTGTGGCTTTGTCAGCTTCTTGCCGCTGCCTCGAAACTGCACCGAGAATTGAAAGATTTCAAGTCTTGCATTTGCTCTCAGGAAGCTACGCTTGGCTGTGGTTCGTAAACCAGCTTCCAACTCAAGGACAGCCAAGACGTCACGTAGAAATCCGACAGCACAATGTAAAAGAGACGAGTAGCGGTATATAGAGCATCTAGGAGCCCTGCTGGGTGCTGTCGGCAACTTACAGGGACCCCAGATTCTGCATTCGAGAAGCTAGTTAGCATCACTGTAGTTGGGTCACTCCCCGTTGTTCCGTGAAAACACCACCTCGAAAGCAGGCACTAGCGCTGCACGCAGACCAGCACGCGGTTTCGGGCAGGTTGTCAGCTACTGTCGGCCAGGCTTGCCTCTTCAGGAGAGCAGGAAGAACCCTATACTCGAGTCCGTGTATTGGGACTTATCGGGATCCCGAAAACCGACCCGTGGCGCTGCGGCCGAATCTGTTGCAATATCAACTTTTGCGATTCGTCCCACGGGGTAATGCTCGCCGAGAGGCTTGTCTTCTTCTTGCTTGGCGTCCAAGAGATCTTTCCTCTTCCTTGCAATTTGACTTGTTCGGTTTCTTCAACGCACGTGGTCAAATCTTTTCTTCCGTCCAAAAGGAGATCACTCCATTGGTGTGTAAAGTGTTTACACAGCACCGCATTAGTCTCTTGTTGACTTTTAAGGCTGACCCGACACTCCCGGCTGCACTTTTATCACTTCAAGCCACTGGAATCCAAACTCACTGGTAAGATAAGCCATAGCTCTGAAAGAACGGAAAACCAACAGCCAAGCCACTTAGCACTGTGCAACTTGTCCAGCTCCTCCAGGGTCAACTTCGAATGGTCCATCCTGGCCAGCCAGAGCGCGACAAAGCATCAGCTAGTCACTACTCGAATTATCCCCCAGGAACCGCGGAACCCAGCCACGGATGCGTGCATGCCGTCGCCAGAAAAAATACAGGTGGACAAGCGCATCTAACTACGTCATGAATAAGTATAGATAGATCGTGGCAATGTACACACATCAGACACAATATAATCATTATAGTTACTTCATACAAGCTAGCTACCATGACCAATCAAGCCTGTCTGATAGATCCTTAATGGAACAATGTGCAGAAACAGCGTCTGGAAGAAGTGCATGACGAAACCGCGACTCAATCCAAAGGGCACTGGCTATCCCAACACTGCCAAGCCACACTGGCACCTGGACCAGTGTCAGCTTCTGACCGCGCGTGCGCCTCTACACAGATCTACGAGTAGGAGCTGAAAGCATTCGGTCCTGGTAGCCTCCTACATGGCTTGGAGGAGGGGGTAGGTCAGCAGGCGGATGCGGAGGAGGAGGAGGAGGAGGAGAGGAGGAGGATGTCACTGCTGTTGACTCTTTAACTTTCAGCCCTCATGGATTTATGCTCGCAACTCGCACCTCCACAGCTCTCATGCTGCAAACCGAGTAGCTGCTTCTTGACCTCCAGCCAGCCCATGGTGCGCTCATCATCTGGCCAGCAGACAATGCATCGAAATGCATCTCAACACGCAGAACAGGAACAGCTTTGATTGTGGAATTGTAGAATTGTGCTTTGCGCATTCCAAGCAGCTCGCCCAGATATCGGCAATTCGCCAAATGTCCCGCGGGCGGGTAAAGAACCTCTGCAAAAACAGCTGCGGCGTGATGTGGAAACCGATCAACATCAGAGCATGCCCCCAGCAACACTTCACAGAGCTGGATCCCACCAAGTTGACATGAGGCCAATATCAACAATCCGCCAGAGCACGTCTGGAAGAGGCGTCTCAGGAAATTGTCATGGCTGGGGCCTTACGTATACATCAGCGATCACTATCGATGAAGGGCTCCTTGTTACGACCCTCCTTCGCTGTCTGAGTACACAGACAACTGCAATACCATAACATGTTAGGGCGCTTGGGCTGCTGTGCAAAACAGATATGACAGGGGGTGACAGCAGTGACAGTGCGTGCCGAACTCACCTCTTCTGGTCTCATGCAACTCTGCCTGTTTGCATGTAAGAAAAGGAGACTGTGACAGATTCGGCTTCCAGAGCCCGGAGACAAGATGACTTCTCCAGCGGTTAGCAGGTCACAGCTTTTCTGAATTCTCATGACACTCATCCGGGCTGCGGAACTCAATGCTCTTGTACGTGGTTCAAGCACTATCACAACCAACTAGAAAGGATGTGCGACTGGCCTGTCCGGATATCTCGTCCCTAGCATAGAAACAACCAGATGTACACACACACACACAAACACGAGAGAGGTGTGCGTGCGTGCGTGCGTGCGTGCGTGCGTGCGTGCGTGCGTGCGTGTGTGTGTGTGTTTGTGTGTGTACGAGTGTGTGTACGAGTGTGTTTTTGTGTGTATGTGTGAGTGTCTGAGTTCTCAGTGTCTGAGCATGTGACTGTGTGACTGTGTGACGGCATGGGTATGTGAGTGTGTGAGTTGCCAGTTGTGTTTTGAGAGTTATGAGTGGTGAGCTGTGAGCTGTGGGCTGTAGGCTGTGGGTTGTGAGTTGTGGGTTGTGGAGGTGTCTGCCTGTGCCTGTGCCAGGGGCTGTGCCTGTGCCTGTGCCCGTGTCTGTGCCTGTGCCCGTGCCTGCGCCTGTGCCTGTGCCTTGCGCCCTGCACCTGTGCCTGTGCCTGTCCCCGTGCCTGTGTCTGTGTCTATGTCTGTGAGTCGGATCTGTCTGTCTGTGTCTGTGTGCCTGTGTGCCTGTGTGCCTGTGTGCCTGCGTGCCTGCGTGCCTGTGTGCCTGTGTGTCTGTGTGTCTGTGGTTCTGTCTGTGTGTCTGTGTGTCTGTGTGTCTGTGTGTCTGTGTGTCTGTGTGTCTGTGTGTCTGTGTGTCTGTGTGTCTGTGTCTCTGTGTCTGTTTGTCTATGTCTGTGTTTGTGCTTCAAGTATTTGTTACTTATGTGTGTCTATATGTATATAAAGCTATATACATACATACATACATACATACATACATACATACATACATACATACGTGTATATATATATATATATACAGTTATATCTACATATATTTTTTTGGCTCCCACATGGCAACGTCAGCACGCTGACCCCGCATCGCAGGCATCATATATACACACATGTACATATACAT